AAAAAAAAAAAAAGTAGACTGGGAGAGGCTGTTTGCTTACCCAGAGCAACAGCAGGACACCTGTACCCACAAGGTGTGTCGACCAGAAGAGTGGTTGCAACAGTACCTGGCAGAGTTAGGATACAGAAAATAGTACTACTACTAGTTCTGGTTTTTTTTTTTTTTTTGCAGTATTTTTTGGCCAAGGCTGGGTTTGAACCTACCACCTCTGGCATATGGGGCTGGAGCCCTACCTTTTCGAGGCACAGGCACCACCCAAAGTGCCACTTACTTTTTAGCCTTATAAAAGTGGTATCATCTGCATATGATCTATAATCACTTGATTTTTTTCACTCGACATTACCTTCTAACTAACATTCACTGGGTGTTCAACTATGTTCTTTCATTTTCCCTGCTATATAGTTCACTGTAGGAATATATATCAGTTTTTTAGTCATTCTCTTCTCAGAGATCATTTGGCTGGCTTTCATTTCTTTTGTTATTGGAACAAAATTGCTATGTGTCTCCTGATGTGTACATGAAAGACGTCCTTTAGCATAGTGATATCCAAAGTGTGGTCCACAGACACATAGTCTGCAGACTGTCACTCGGCCAGAAATTGGGAGTATGCACTTAGAGATCCTTATAGCAATTTGACATTGCTATGACAGCCAAACTCTGATCATTTCTCTAAGAATTTATTTTCATTGTATTTTACTAAAATAGCAGTCCAAGACAGAATGAAAATGTTTTAAAAATAAAAAACTATTTTTCGAGAAGCATAACTCACTTCCCATGTTAATCTCCTTGATATATATATGTCATCTATGTACTTTTGTCTATTTTGTGTGTGTTTTCCTTTTCCTTTTTAAATGGAGATTTTTAGTTAGTTTTTTTACTATGTTTTCCCCAACTTCTTTTTCAAAAATGTCTACCCTTGAGACCTGACTACAGATATCTAACAAATTCTAACATATATCAGCATTTTGACCCTCCCTTAATAATCTAAGAAACTTAGAACACTAATTTCAAACACTGTGTTATAATTATTTTCTTCAGTTTTGAGTTTTGTCCTTTTTCCTTTAACCTCACAACTAAAACTCATCATCATCATTTTACACAGAAAATGTTCATATTTACTTAATGCTTTCCAATTTACTTATTTATTTATTTTTAAGACAGAGTCTCCCTCTGTTGGCCTGGGTAGAGTGCTGTGGCATCATAGCTCATAGTAACCTCAAACTCTTGGACTCAAGAGATCATCTTGCCTCAGCCTCTTAAAGTAGCTGGGACTATAGGTGCCCATTTCGAATTGAATCCTGGATTTTTGTTGTTGTTGGGTTTTTTACAGTTTTTGGTCGGGGCTGGGTTTGAACCTACCACCTCCAGCATATGGGACCGGCGCCCTACTCCTTTGAGCCACAGGCACTGCCCTTGTTGTTTTTATTTATTTTGAGGCAGAGTCTCACTCTGTTGCCCTGGGACTGAGTGCCAGTTTTTCTATTTTTAGTAGAGAAGGGGGTCTTACTCTTGCTCAGGCTGGTCTTGAACTTGTCAGCTGAAGCAATCCATCAGCCCTAGCCTCCCAGAGTGCTCAGATTACAGGTACGAATCACCTCACTCAGCCTTGTTGAGTTCTAAATTTCAGCAATTATATTAAATTTATTTAAAAAAAAATTTTTTTTTTTTTGAGACAGAGCCTCAAGCTGTCCCCCTGGGTAGAGTGCCATGGCTTCACTGCTCACAGCAACCTCCAACTCCTGGGCTCA